AGGTGTTCAGAATGGTTTGATCCCTATCCAGCTGAATTCCTGAGAGGAGACGAAATCCAGGTCTCCTACTCCTCCGCCATCTTGCTCCGCCCCCCAGGAATTAGACATTTGAAGAAAGAGGAGAAGATACGAAATAGGTATCTGGAGTGTGAGAGAGTGAGTGAGCCAAAAATGTGTGATAGGCTCTCTAGGCAGTACTGAGGGTCCACCTCAGGTTAGAGGGACATGATTTTGAAGTAAGAAAAAATCAAGATTGGGATTTTTTTTTTTTTTCTAATGGTATACAAAATGCATGATAAGACAAGGGAGCTGAGGCTGTATGGAAGAGAGTGATTATGATTGCCAATGAAATCTAAGCTAAGTAAGGGAGGAAACAAGGTGAGTAAATGACAGTGAAAAGATAGTAAGATAAGCAAGCAAACCATTAAAAGATTCTTAACTATAGAGGACAAACTGAGGGTTGATGGAGGGAGGTGAGTGAGGGATGAGCTAAATGGGTGATGGGCATTAAGGAGGGCACTTGTGATGAGCACTGGGTGTTATATGTAAGTGATGAATCACTAAATTCTACTCCTGAAACCAATATTACACTACATGTTAACTAAATAGAATTTAAATAAAAACTTGAAACAAAAAAAAAAAGAAAGAAAAGATGGTAAGATGAACAAAAAAATAAGGGATATAGATTAGATGATAGGTAGGTAAGTAGATAGACAGATGCAGACATATGTATGTACGTAGAACAATATTAGCATAAACATGGTTTTTAAGGCAGAGTGATAGATACATGGAGGTTTATTAAATTGTTCTCTAATACTTTAGGGTATATTTGAAAATGTTCAAAATAGAAAGTTGTTTTTTTTTAAAGTGGCAAGATGGTTTGTGTGGTTAAAGATTGTTGGAGTCAGGGTTCCAGAAGAAGTAAACTAGAGAGAGAGAAGATTGAGCTTAGATAGTGATCTGATGGAAATTGACAGGATGAAAACTTGGAAGGGTTGTGGACCTTGTTAGTAACAGGATCTAAGATAGGACCCAGGAGCTAAGTGACTACCAGGAAGGTGGAGTGTAAGGTCAAGGCAGAAGAGGAGACAAAGGAACCTAGAGGTCAGGCCATTTTAATGATTACTAGCATGGATAATAAAAGCACTTTGTAGTGTTAGCATGACGGGGAGCCAAACACTAATGCCTTCAAAGAATGAGGGACAGTGACTGGTATAATAGCTTCATAAACTGGTGGTTTTTAGAGGAGAAGCCATTTGGAAGTTGCAATGACAGTAAAGAGGACCCAGAGCTCCACTCACCCCAACACCACCCCCACGGACCTAGAGGTACCAGGAATACGCAAGAAAAAACAGCTTTCACTTGAGAGGGCTCTGGGGGAAGCAGTGTCCTCAGGGGAGGGCTAGATATTAAGCGAGAAATTGTTCTACTAAGAATCTAAATTAGTTGGTTACTGCACCTGAATGTTAAATTGGGCTATCCACCTCCTGGCAGTAAAAGTTTCATAAAGGAGAAATGATAGGTTATATAGTCCCTAGGATCTGACAAAAGGAGGCATATAAATTCTTCCAAAGAGAACAACATTTTCTAAAATCCCCAGCATTTTTTTCCATAGATCCATAATCATCTTTATATCCCGAGCAACTAGAACAAAGTTTGGAATATAATCAGAACACAATAAATGTTTGTTTAACCAAACTCATCTGAAACAGAAGTTCGTAATGAACAATATCTTTAATGGCAGCTTTTGAATATAAAAAGCTTATCTTAACCCCTAAAATAGGGCATGGTCATGAGGTTTCTATTGATCTTAGCTTTGAATCTGAGATGGCATTTTCAAAATGAAGCTACTTATAAAATTTGCTTTAGCAGTTCTTTTCCTACGACACATTGTGCAGTATATTAAAAGGCACTGAGATAGTTAACGGTTTCTAGTATTCACTTTTATTCTTTTCATTTTGAAGAGAAAAACCTGCCATTTAAAAGCATGCAAAGCTAATTAAAGCTTTTCCACTGTTTCATTATCTGAATGTAGTTGCAAATTCTGACTTAAAACTCTTATCAGGAGACTCAACATCCCTCCCTGAACAGCAAATGAACATTCAATTAACACTTCAATACAAGTGTATTTTAAATAAAAATATACTTTATTGTTAATCTCATCCTTTACAAATGCAAATACCCAATTTTAAAATCCAAAGAGAGTTACCTCCCTTTTATTCTTTGGGGGAAAAAGTCTTTTCTTTATTTACAGGGAAGACCCGAATTTTCTGAAGTTGTTACCAAGTTAGAAGAGTGTCTCTGCAACATTGAGGTAAGAACTTTAGCTTCTGAAATATGTCCATAAAAAATCTTGAATATCCAAGGGTGTTGGGGAATAGGTATGGGGTTGCTTGTAGAAAGTAGGTATGAAAGTCTATAACTTCATTCATATATTTACATTAAGTTTGCATTAAGTTTCCAGGGTGGACTCACTGAATCTATAGGGACAAAGGCAAATTCAGCATGAATTTGGACGTTCCAAGAAATAATCAGTCAGGCAAATGGGCACAGGCAAGCCCAGCTTGAAAAAATTAATATGTAAAAATTTGAAAGTACAGCAAATATGTTAGAAGGTAATTATTTAAATCAACTTTTTTCTATACAAAAGTTCCTACATACAGTGAAATGTAAGTTAAAATATTAAGCCACTATGCTCAATAAGAAAGGGAAATTATCACTAAAATTAGTGCATAAATTAATTGGGATGCATTGCTTTTATACCGCACATATGTTGCATAAAGTGATATATGTTGGTAATCAGCCTAATGGAATTTTCTTCCCTTAATATCAAGGAGCTGTTTGCTTTAATTTTCTCTCTAATTGCCTTAATTTTCTATACACCTGGTCAGGAGATAGCATTTGAAAATAAGCAAAGAAGCTAACACATGAGCACTAATTCAAAAATAATAATATATTCCCAATGCAAATGAGTGCTGCAAGAGATGGGGGTGGACATCACACATACTGACTCACAAATACATGTGCATATGATGGGAAGGGGCAAAACAGGAGAAACAGCATCAACCTGAGACTGCACAACTAAATCCCAAAGTGGAACCATCCATTTTTTTCCCCTAAAAAAATAAAACAAAAAACAAAAAAAAACTCAGCTTAGAGTCACTGGAACCCAGTTTACTGGGAAAGGGTTCCAGGTCTTCAATTGCAGCCTGCAGCTATTGGCTGTCTCATAACTCTTTAATGAAACTTCCAAAAAGGAAGTCTTTTATGTAGGACGCAGCTTCAGTCTTTGGACACTAAACGTCCATTCCCTTCTCTTCAGTCCTGAAACATACAAAGCAGAGAAAAGTAGTAGTATAATTCGTGGGGCTTTAGCAGTCCCTACTAACAAGAGCATCTGCCGGAGGCCTTGAATGTTGAGAGACACTTTTAAAGCTTAAGTTCCAAGTGTCCTCTCACTTTGAACCTTTGTGTTTCACAGGGCAAAACTGCTCCAAGCCTGGGGACATAGCCTGTTAGATGAGAGAGTGGATTCCAGATACAGAGACAATGGTAGGATCTCCTAAACTAGTATGGCTTCTTATATTGACCAAGCCTCTTAGCACAATCTCCACCAGTAGAGAAGATGAAGTATACTCTCTTGCATACTCTATATGCAAAGAGAACTTGCTGGACTGGACTGCACTAAATAATGGCCCAGGATCAGGTTTAAGGAGCTTGATTTGTAAAATTCCATATGTTGGAAGATAAAATGATAGGACATGTCTAACAAGAATTAATATAACATCACATACCAGAGTCAGAGAAATAATAGTAAGAATATCAAATGGTGGAGATATGGTTTAGGAGCATCATGCATGTTAGTAGATAATAAGCTCTTTGGGAGTTAGAATGTGAAGTAGCTGTCTTGCCACAAAATAAAGGATGGGTATCATTCCTCTCTCTTCTGAGATGGCCAAACAAAATAGTACCCAGTTATATCCTTTTAAAGGGATAATTGTAACTGGAACACAAATTTTAGGGAAGAGAGATCAGAATGATGAATGGATTGAAAATCATGTATGTGAGAACCAATTAAAGGAACCAGAGATGCTTGTCCCAGAGAAGAGAAAATTAGGATGAGCCCAAGAGCTGTTTTTTAAACATCTGAAAAATGATCATATGGTGAAAGGATTGGCCTTGTTCTCTATGGGCCAACAGATGGAAATGAAGTGTAATTATGGTTTGGTTTTTCAGGAGAAAGAACTTCCTAATTGTCAGAGTTGTCCTAAGGTAAATGAACGGATCTGGACACAGTGAGGTCCCCATCACTGGAGACTCCCCATCAGCTTGCATAGCTAACTTGAAAAAGAGGCATAGAAGAGTTTCAATCATTGAAGAGTTTGAAGGTTCATTTCAACACTGACATCACATGATTCTCAGAGCTTTACTCAGTAATGTCTTGGCTACTGTGAAGAGCCTAGAATTTACATATATTTTATTTTTAAACCAAAATCTACTGTTGACATGTCTTATGAGATTATAATGTCAAAGCACTAGTGTTCTCAGTTGGGTTAGGTAAACAGCAAGGTCGTCAGAAATTCAAGAAAACTATCTCCTATTTTTTTTTCTTCTCTTTCTCATTTTCTTCCCTCATACTCTTCTATTTTCTAGCTAAACTTAACTATTTGTAACTATTTTTAAAAATTCTCCCCCAACAACTCTCTTTAGTCCTCATGCTTGCCAGACATTAAAGCATCCTTCATTTTATAAAATGGATGTATTCTTGGAAAAGTGTGTAAATTCATTTTACATAAAGGAAATAATTTCATATAAAGGGGATAATTTTAAGCTACAGTTTAAAGGAACTCTGCCATGAATCTCATCATCATAGTGAAAAATGTAATCTTTTAACCATCAAATAATCACCTTCTAAATATCCATGTTATGAATCTGATTTGAGCATACCATGTTTTCTGAAAGATGAGTATAAGTTGAATGGGCCAGCTCTCAGCATAGAACTGGGTCAAAAAAGTAAATTAAGCTAGCCATGTGTTGCCATCAGAGGCCGATAGGAAAAGCCGGAAGCAAGCTGAGATGAATAGAAATTAAAATATGAGAAATCCTAGAATAGAAAGTTAAAATAAATCCATATTCTATTCTATGCTTAAGCCTGTTGGAGTTATGAAAGGACTGAAACTACCCCTTCTTCACTCAGCTGATGTCTCCTGCATCAAGTAACAGCAGCGGGTCTCTCTCACCTTCCTCTTCCTCTGACTGCCTGGCGAGCCGGGGAGGGCCTGGCCGGAGCCACGTGGCAGCGTTAAGGAGTCGTTTTGAATTGGAATATGCTCTGAATGCGAGGTCCTGTGCTGCCTGGTCCCAAAGGTGAGTGGCAATCTAAGCAACAATCTCATGGTCCAGTTAACCAGAATCCCATCAAGATCGTCACCTGATTTGGTTAGTATCAATGGGGGATTTACCACCCCTATGGCAACTTTGAAGTAAGAGTTTTTAGCCCATTTTTCTTATAAGATTCTATTAATGTTATAGGACCAAAAAATAGAAATTGTATTATTTGTTTGTTTAGATTAGATTTCTAAGTTTCAAGTAACAGCAGTTACCTCTAGCTTAAGTGAGAACTGTCTAGCTACAGCAACAAAAGGAATTTATTGAAAGTATTTTGGGGTTATCTTATGGCATCCAAGGAAGGATACCTTGTGTAGGAACCAAGAAACAGCTTTGAGGATCTGAGCACCACAAAAGTTCAGCATACCAAGGATGACGCTATGACCCAGCAATTCCACTCCCCAGTACATACTCAAAAGAATGAAAAACAGGTACTCAAACAAATACTTGTACTCAAATGTTTATAGCAGCCCTATTCACAACAGCCAAAAGGCGGAAACAACCCAAATATCCATTAACAGATGAGCAGATAAACAAAATGTGGTATGCACATAATAAAATATTCTTCGGTCATGAAAAGGAATGACATACTGATACGTGCTACAACACGGATGAACCTGGAAAATATGCCTTCATTGGGAAGAAGCCAGGCACAGAGACCACATATTATATGATCCTATTTATATGAATATCCTTAAGAATAAGTGTGTGAGTCAGTTCAGGCTGCCATAACAAGATACCATAGACTGGATGGTTTAAAGAACAGAAATGTATTCTCTCGCTGTGGAGGCTGACAATCTGGGATGAGGTGCCAGCATGGTCAGGCTCTGGTGGGACTTACAGACGCCCATCTTCCCGGCTTGCCGACGGCAGCCTTCTCCCTATGTTCTCACATGGCAAAGAGAGTGCTGCAATTTTCCACCTGTTTATAAAGGTGTCTGTCCTAGGGGAATCAGGGCTTCACTCTTCTGACCTCATCTAACCTTAGTCGCCTCCGTAAAGGCCCTCTCTCCAATACAGTCACATAAGGGGTCAGTGCTTCAATGTATGGATTTGATGGGAGGGGTACACAACTCAGTCCATAATAGGGAATCCATAAACCCATTAAAAATTTTAAAAAATTAAAAAATAGGGCGCCTGGGTGGCTCAGTTGGTTAAGCGACTGCCTCCGGCTCAGGTCATGATCCTGGAGTCCCGGAATCGAGTCCCGCATCGGGCTCCCTGCTCGGCAGGGAGTCTGCTTCTCCCTCTGACCCTCCTCCCTCTCACGCTCTCTGTCTCTCATTCTCTCTCTCTCAAATAAATAAATAAAATCTTTAAAAAAAAAATTAAAAAATAAAAACAAAGCAGACTGGTAGTTGCCAGAGGCTGGGGAGAGAGAGAAATTAGGAGTAACGGCTTAATGATTACAGGGTTTTATTTTGGGGTGATGAAACTATTTTGGAACTAGATAGAGGTGGTTGTAAAACACTGTGAATGTACTAACAGCCACTGAATTGTTCACTTTAAAATGATTAATTGTATGTCATGTGAAGTTTACCTCAAAAAAAAGAGCCAAAAAGGGAAAAAACAAACAAACAAAAAAACTTAAGCGAAGGAGCAAGTCAGAAAAAGAGAAAAAAAAGTTCAACATTCTTCCATAGTCAACTCTACCATTTACATGCCCCAGTTCCCAACAGACAGTCTCTTTGTCTCTCAGCTTAACTGTAAAGTTTCAAGCAGAGATATATCAGTTATGTTTTGCCATAATAATTCTCTATAAAATCCACACCAGCATCCAAGGATATATAATCATAAGTACTTATTTTTTTTTTTAAAGATTTTATTTATTTATTTGAGAGAGAGAATGAGATAGAGAGAGCATGAGAGTGGGGAGGGTCAGGGGGAGAAGCAGACTCCCTGCCGAGCAGGGAGCCCGATGCGGGACTCGATCCCGGGACTCCAGGATCATGACCTGAGCCGAAGGCAGTCGCTTAACCGACTGAGCCACCCAGGCGCCCTAATCATAAGTACTTATTTCTTGCTCATGTGTCTATGAGCTGGTTGTAGGTGGCTTGACGGAGCACAGGTTTTATCCCGGTCTGTCCCACATGTCTCTCCCTGTCTTTGGACCAGCAGCTACCTGAGACATGTTCTTCTCATGGACAAAGGCTAGGAACTCAAGAGGACAGGCCCAACTTCACATGCCCACTTAAGGCTTATGTTCAAGTTGCACCCCATGGCATTCCATGGGCAAGTCACATAGCTGAGTCCAATATCCAATAGGGAGACAAAATAACATAATACTCAGCCTCTAGTGGAAGGAACTGCAGAATCACTTGGCAAAGGGCATAGATACAGAAAGCATAATGAATTAGGAATAAATGCAGTCTGCCCTACGAGAATGCGATTGGCCCTTTTTGGATCAAATGGCCACCCCTGGTCTAAACAAGTGCGGCCGGAGTGGCAGTGGGGTCATATTTCATTAATATAAACAGGGCTGCCAGGTACCCCTATTCTGGATGGGGAATGGCAAAAGCAGTCACTTGTGAGCTGGATGGATACCATAGAAAATATATACTGCAACCCATGGAAGTCTGGAAAAACTGGCTTAAAATCTCTGTTCTTTCACATGAGCTCCAGAGCATTTGCACATGAGTTGCTATACATGTAAACTCTTACACACACATAAATGCTTCCACACTCACTCATACATCCCATCATCACAGTAAAAAGCTTTATCCTGAAGGTGCAGAAAGATTATCTGGAGTTAGCAAGGATCTTACACCATACACAAATTGCTAATGTGGGTTTTTTAGCTATAGCTATTTATTATATTCTTAGTCTAACGAAAGAGTTGCAGCTGCAGCTATGAAGAGATGGGAATCTGAATCATGAAGCCTTTAGTCTACAGAATGTCATAAAATTAAGTATCAGTAGGTTTGATTGATAACCGGGCAAACTGGACACAATTCTTTATTAGATTCCAGTCTCTTATATAATTTCATAAGAGGCCCATAGGCCAAGATTAGATTAGGTTCAGTCACAGCATCGTCTGCTAGTTCCATCTGCTCTTCTTATTCTTTACTTGTGCTTTTAAAATTAATTCTCTGAACAGTCAGATTTTGGTATTTCCAAAACACAGTCCCCTGAAGTCTGTCTACTTTGAAGCAGAGCTTAGGAGCATGAGTTGTGGAATCATACAGACCTGAGGTTCAATCTCAGCTTCGCCATTTACCAGCCCAATGACCTTGGGCAAGTAACTTAAGTTTTATACGTAAAATAGACATAATAATACCAGCTTTTAGGATTGCTCTTGAGCGAGGCAGTATCGTCACAGGAGTGGGTGATTGATTAAAAGGTGCCAGGAGACCCAACCAAAAAATACAAGTTCCCGTAATGTAGCGAAGTCATACACCTTACAACACATGCACAGCTACACAGCCTGGGGGGCACAGCTGTGCTCCCAAGAGCACCTTCAAGAACCCAGAGAAATATACCACTGTTCATAAAACTGCCCAAATGGGTGTGGGAAAAACCCATCAGGTCTTTTTTTTTTTTTTTAAAGATTTTATTTATTTGACAGAGAGAGACACAGCGAGAGAGGGAACACAAGCAGGGGGAGTGGGAGAGGGAGAAGCAGGCTT